GCTGCTGCTGCATCTCGCTGGCCATTGCTTGCTGCTGCATGAGCTTCTGTTGTTCAAGAGGTTGTTTTTGAAGCTGCTGTTCGTGTTGCTGTGCCATGAGCTCTTGCTGTTGCATTTGCTTTGCTTCCTCTGCCATTGCTTGCTGCTGCTTGAGCTTCTGTTCCTCAAGAAGTTGTTGTTGAAGCTGCTGTTCCTTTTGCTGTGCCATGAGCTCTTGCTGTTGCATCTGCCTTGCTTCTTCTGCCATTGCTCTCTGACGTGCCTCTTGCGCCAAGCGCTGCTGCTGCATGAGCTTTTGTTGTTGAAGAAGCTGCTGTTGAAGTTGTTCTTCATGTTGCTGTGCCATGAGCGCTTGCTGTTGCACTTGCCCTGCCTCGCTTGTCATTGCCCGCTGACGTGCCTCTTGTGCCAAACGCTGCTGCTGCGCCTCATTGGCCATTGCTTGCTGACGAAGCATGGCTCGTTGTTGAAGCAGCTGCTGCTGCAACTGCTCTTGCTGCTGCGTTGCCATCAGTGCTTCCTGCTGCCAATGTGCCTTCTCATGTTCATATTCCTCCCACGATGCCTCCATCCACGAAGGCCCCGGACTCACAGTCGCCAACCCTGGTTGGGATGGAGCTGGAGCTTGGGATGGAGCATCCATTGCCTCTTCTTTGACCTTACTCAAGGTCCAATGAAACCTTGTTTTTTGCTGAAACAACCTTTGGTCATTAGAAAACCAACCAACAAAATATGTTCTGTAAGCAGAAACAAGATTCCTGCAGAGGTGGTGGCCCCATGCGTGGTTGTTTTTGCCCACTCATAAAGCCCTGTCCACTCATGAGAGTCTGACAGGACCACTGTCGACTAAGACCCTTGTTCAGATCCATGCTTGAGCAAACCCTGTGCGGAATTTGCATTTAATCCTCTCCAATGGAATTCCTTTCAGTAATATAACACCTGCAAATACATTGGGGGCCAATGAAAGGAACTCTTTCGGAGAAGTTGCAACGCAGAGAAGCTGCAAAAAATCAAAAAATGTCCAGCGCTACTAAAGCATAGTTGGTCCGTTGCCTGCTTCTCCAGCTTTTGCTGCCAAATAGGTCAATGTTGTGGAAGTATCACCTCCGGAGCGTCAAAAAAACGTTTGAGGCCAGAAATGTTGAAAGCGCCTCAAAACTCAAGTTTCGGAGGTGTCCGGCATGGGGGTTATATACAGCAATATAAAGGACTAAGGTCGGACACCTCCAAGATTTGAGTTTCAAGGTGAGAACATGTCTGAAATTGAGAATTCCGCTTGGAAACCGCAAAAAACATTGCGAAAATTGAAGTCCGGAAAGATCGCGCCAGATCTCGCGAAGAACTGGTTTCCCGGCGAGAAGTTTTGGTTTCCCGTGCCGAAATCTTCCAGCAAAAAAACCGAATCTGTTGAAAAATGCCAGAAACCATTTTTTTTGGGTTCAAAGTGGTGGCTTCCCCGCTCAAGCATCAGTTTGCGCTCATTCTGGTATATATGTGTCCGCTCCAACCCCGGTGTTTCAATTAGACATGAGGAAATATGTTGGTTTCTTTTTTGAGCAAGATAAAGATAGTGTATACACTCTTTTGGTTTGGCAAGAGCAGACAAAGAAGCGCAAGACCAACGCAGCTAATTGTATATTGACAAAATGTGCCAACTTTCATGGCATTTGCACATCCACAGACAACGCAAATTCCTGGACCATTTCTCCTTTAAGAGATCTGCAACAAAGAACATTGGAGTCACAGGTCACTTGCGTTCAAACAGTGAATTTGGCAACCCCAAGTTGAACCATTGCACTCACTAGCTTGAACTAGTGCCGGTTCAAACCCAAAGCCTCACGAACAGGTGGGGCAACATTCAATAAAGTGCTTGACCTCAGGTAGGTCATCACTGATGCCATATCAGCATCACCCCAAATGTCTGCGTCATTGGCTGTCATGTGCGCCAGGAGCTCAACAAATGGTTTGCCGGCCGAGTCCTGGAAAAAGAATGCAATCTAGACATTAAATGAACAGGAAAGGAACGCTGTCCTTCACAAGAAAAGCAAGTTGAGAACAATTGCGCTTGTCGCAAGGTCCTGTGTCCCTCGCATACCCCAAACAGCTTCAGGAAATCTAGGAAAGAGGCCAGCGATCTTGTACCCGAAAGCTTTGGTGTAACTCCTTGTTTGGGACACGATTGATGTCAAGTCCAGATCTAAATACAAATCATGTTTCCTTGCCAAAGATCCGAAGACCTGAGTCCCATTGTACGTGGGTGTGTAAGTATACATGTCCCAAATAGGGATTCAGGCTTTGGGATCTGGCAGTTCTGCTGCCAGACAATGGCATGAGGGTTGTCCATCAAGACACCAGACCACTCAATGTGTTAAACGCAAAAAGAAAAATACAAATTACAAATTGAATCTAGATTCTGTGATTCTTTCAACGCTTTCTTCTTGCCATGGCACTTGGTTTTGCCTGTGGTTGGATCCTTGTAGGTAACAGCTAAAGGAACTGCATTTGTTCTTTGTTCTTTCGTGAGGGGACCCAAATCAAGCTCTTGGATCAGGCCAGAATTGCTCCAAAGACAAGTCCGTTTGCAGGATTGAACTCCATAATGTTTCATCCAGATCTTCTGGCGGAAAACCTTGGCGACACCACGCAACATCCCCACTCAATCAACAGAAGAAGGATACCTCACTGCTGTTTGGAACAAGAGCGTGCACAAGCAAACAGACAAATGCCAGCCCAAGGACATAGCACACCTCCGTGCAAAAGTGCTGCCATCGGGGCATATCACCAAACTTGGCAGAGCCGGGCTGCTCTACTATGAACACATGGCCGAGGGCGGCGATAAGCCAACACAGTAGTGTTACACGATTGCTCATCACATTCCCAGCTTTGACCCAACTCAAGCTTTCATCCCCTTCCGGATTGTACCAGTAGCGAACAGCTGCGCTGGAACACATGAAGGAGAAGCCACTGCAAACGGGAGCAAGAATCACAACAGACTGCGGATGAAGTTTCAATACAGCAAGCACAGCTGTCCTCAGACTGGACACGCAAGGAGTGGTAAAGTCAGGCAGTGCTTTGCTAGTCACATCAGAACAAAACTGAAACACTAAGCCAAAATGAGCAATCGAGATACGCAAAGCCTGCAGGCTCAAAGAAATCATTGAACCGCCCACCATAGGAGCGGTCAAATTTTACTCCTGGGAATCCACAATGGCGGAGGCACCACGTGACATTGCCATCGCCAGCGAACATCTCGATGAAACGGTATGCCTGAGCATAGGAGGGTTGGCAGTTGCCCACAGATGCATATGAGGAAGCGCCAGAACACAATCACCCTAACTGCATGTTTAGACGCCCAAGTTTGATCAATGCCATCACTTGAGAGCAAGAAGACGACAAGGCAGACCAGTGCCTGGTTGCAAGAGGTCCAAAATCATCCAAAAAACACTCACATTCATAGAATCTCAAACGACTCATGCTCAGCTGTTTCACAGGGGCAGCGATGCTCCAAAGTCTGAAAAATGCACAATATAAGCCTTACAGTGATATTGCATTCTCTCAATCCATCATTTGTCTCCAGTGACTCCCAGAGGTCTTGCAAGTACATGAAAACGGACTTTGGGCATCGCAAGGCCAAGGGAAGAATTTGCCATCCAAACCATCATGTGCAAACAAGTTGCCAGAGGAACTTTGGCTGCATACATCCGAGAGACTGCAGACTGGAGGTTCCAGGACGTCGCAACCATGGATGGATGAGGACACGTGAATTGCGACCCAAACCGGTTCCCCAAAAATGGCCTGAGCCTGCCCTGGTGACAGCAACATGTAGGTATAATAAATCTTAGAACGGACAGGCTGACACAAACATGCAATTTCCACTGGGGTCGCACCTGGCTGGCACTCTTCCTCATCTGAGGACGGCTCAGCACGCTTAGTCGGCATAACAACGCCTAGGCACACTCTCAATGACAACTTCCACTTTCACCTTTGTCCCAAAAACATTTTTTATGTTCTCATCTTCACTACAGCGCCATCATACAGCACAGGTTGTCCTTGTTTCTCGATCTTTTATGCTTGTTCTGACGGCTGTCCACAAACATAAGCTTTCCACT